TCCCACTCCAATAACGAGGGCGGATAGCGATTTTTCTGCCCTCCACTTTTTTCTATCTCCTACAAAATCTCGCAGATCACCTTTCTCCCATGCAGATATGATTTCGTTGCTATCGAACCTTTTTTTCTTCAAAAATTCAGTGTCCTACTGTATTTCGATGAGTTTTTCAACGATGTCGAGGTTTTGTATGATTTTCTGGCACCCGTATTCCATTAGCATTCAACTTTTACTGTCCTGTTCGAACTTTTCGAGAAAAAAAGTGATTTTTTTTCTGAAAATGGCGACGCATCCCCTATTCATGTCGTTTCCAAAATGCAAATTTCGGTTGCTGCTTGCACTTGTGCTCCGTGTGGTGTTTCCGACCCTTTTAGCATAGAAATGTCCTATTTGGCATAATTTGATTAAATTTTCTTTTTTCTTTTGCTCCCTTTTTTCTATTTTTGATTTGTACGTTTAGCATAGTTTGCAGCTTAGCTCGAATCGGACCCTACGCCCTCCTCCCCTTGCTACTACTACTACGGGCCTCGGGGCTGGGCTAATTTTCATTTTTCGAGCGTACGTTTCTGCCTGGTGTATGTGAGTGTGTGTGTGTGTGCGAAATAGCCCGTCAGTTGGTGTTCAGGCCCGTCTCGCCATTTTATCTGGACGGACAACTCTGACCACTATGATTTTTGCGAGCAGCCAGCTAGTGTATAGTTCGGGAGAATTGGCATGATGCCAATGCCGACTGGTCACTTCATTCTTATGCTGGTTTCACCTCTGTTCGCCCACTCTAAACACATCTATTGGCTTCCGCTTTGCTCTTACTCCCATTTTCTCAGAGTTTGTTCACGTCGCACGATGTTCCGAGTGATATATCGGGGATTACCTTCTTCTTTACGAGAGCATTTCTTCGTCTTTGCATTTGCTACTCGCGCTCATTGCCAACGACGGACGGACGGACCGCCGTTTTTCTAGTTCCCACCCAGCTAACCTTCGAATTCAATCCACGGGGGCCAATCTTCCCCCCAATTCGAATCGGGGAACTTGTCCTTTTACTGCTTCCAGTGTTTTCGGCAATTTATCATCGAATCATATTTTTCTGCAGAGTACCACCAAAGAGATATCTATCCAATGTATCTTTAAAGCAATAAATTTATTCTGACTTCATACCAACCGATAGCTATCTGAACCACATTCCACTGTCGAACAGTTTCTTGCACTTTTCTTGACTCCAAGTTGTTTTTGAAACACCTTTGGGTTAAAGCAAAAACTCCCGAGTAATTTCATGGAGGCCTTACTACTCATCTTCTAAACCAGCACCATTCCAGTAATACTTAATTAGTCAAATTCTCTAACAGCATTCTAAATTGGAAACGGTTTTTTCCCCAAGCCCCTAGCCAATTTCCACACGTTCTGCCATAACCGCTTTTTAAAGCATTCCGTGGTGGTTATGTCACAGATGCCAAAAACGAATCTAAATGTTATAAATGGGTAGGATGACTTCTAGGACGACTTTCCCTAGGATGCGCCATGTTTTTCTAAGTTCGTTCTATTCAAAACCGCTGTAGCATAAAATATGTACCTAAGTCTTCTGAGTCTAAATAATTTCTGTGGCCACTTTGGCTTCTCAGATGGTATTTTTATGTCCTCAGACAACGCAAACGACAGCGGCACCTTTTGCCACCGCGCCATCTCCGTCCAACAACTGATTTTCAAAAAATCCGATTTACTATTACCCTATGGCGTGCTCGTGGCTCTGAGCAGCTGGTAGCTGGCTGGTCACAATTGATTTCTAAACAGAGTGATTTTTATGAAGTTGCTCTCTAGGGTAGGTAACTCCAGCCATACCCCGATCTTGCTATGTTTAGCAACTTCCGCCTTTCCGAAGGAATTCTGCGAAAGTCATAACTGAAATAAGATGCGAACCATTGAACTTTCATCTCGTATTCCACCTCCCTAGGTCTCATCATTTGGTTCATTGTGCTCCATAGGTTGAGGTAGAAGTATGTGGGAGGATCACCAGATCACTCCTGGTCAGCATCCTCACATCACTTCGGTCTTTTCACTAGTTTAGAACAACTACTTATCCGAAATTATCACAAATATCTATCTGTTGAACGATGTATGGTCTTACCTCGCTTTCATAAATGATGGAACAGTAAGTGGAGCATCTTTACGAGCACAATCTGAATAACCTGCTTAAGTATGAGGTAAAGATCAAATTGGATTCAGTAAATGAGCACTGTTTGTGTTCGAAGACGGATGAACAACTTCCACTACCCAGTAGCTTTGAGTAGGCCCCTTTTCACCCTTTTTCATATGCCTGTTCAATCAGGGCCGGAGGTTCCCACCGGACAATTCGACCTCGACCGTTCCAATTGCACCACACCCAAGTTTGGGGACGAGTAAATGTGTTGATAAATGGAATGGTAAAAGTCACACTTAACTTAAATGGTAATTGTATGGAAAAAGCTGAAATTCAACCTTTCCTACTTGAATTTCAAACATTCCAGTGAAATTTATGAATTATTACATCTACTAGTCAAACCGTTACGTACTAGTAGATGGGTGTGGGACGGAAAGGCTTGAAAGAGTGCGGTAAAGGTCTTGGCCAGATGTTGAGTGGTGACAGTATTATGCCTACTGCCTCATAATAATTTTATAACCCTTTACCCAGGCATCACACGTCCGATAATGTTCCTTTGCTGGTTGTCCGGGTATTTACGCCCCTTCCTTACCCTTCTTTTGCACTCTTTGCATTTTTTTTCTTGCCAAATCTGCTTGCAGATGGATGCCTGAGCAATGTGGCGAACTAATCGATTTTGTTTGTCAACATCTTATGGTTGTTTTTAAGGCATTTCATACAAAATTTCCAGAAATTCTACTTTCAATCTGTCTATTCTCAACTTGTTTTGGCTCACTTTATTTACTTTTATAGTTGTTTACTCCTAATTTCGGTTGAAATTACTCTTCCATGTTGTGGTCATTGTAGTGGAATTACTATTGACGTTTGGAAAAATTCATTCAGTTTTGTTTATGCCATCAAAAATCCCGCAAATGGTTTTTTCGGCTTCGTTAGGACACTCTCATTTCCCGGCGAGAAAAAATTCCCGTTTCACCCTCCTTCTGGTGAACGCCGACTTTCTCTCCTCAATCGAGAAAAAAATGCCCATTTCAGAGTGCCGCCCCTGCTGCTTCCTAGCTATTACTGTAATCTAGTCTAGCCCGTGTAGTCCACTCTCACAGCATCACAGGCGGCTGTGGAAGGTGAGTTTTGGGGGCGGGCGGGTATGGGTAGAGATGGTAATGTGGTGGTTCATAGTCAGACAGGATTGTTCCTGCGACTGACTATTCCTCTACCTAGTCGGTCACTCCTATCGATGATGATGATGATGTCGTACTGGTTGCAGGAGTTGTGATGCTGCGGTGGTCGCTGGTGTCGTGCTGTCGTTGCTGATCCTAGATGCTCGTCGTGCGGCTGCGAGCCTTTGCTGCGCTCGTCGTCTGCGCATTCGTTATCACCCTCACCACCGTTGTGTTCATCAGACGACCGTCGTCCCCTACTACTTCCCTCACCTCATCCTCTTCAAATTCACTGCCTATTGACGATCTCCTTGCGGCCGATCATCATGTGCTGCAATCATTCGCCCGGGCCAAGTACTCAGGTACGTGTGTTTGGTAATTAATATTCATTGTCACATATTGTGGCGGCTGTTGCTTTGTGCTTTCCAATTTGCATAGCTATATGTATCATGGTCCCGGGTCGCTCCAAACGGGGACCTTTGCGCTCCCTGCCCCTGCAGACCCGTCACCAAACCTTCTTGTACTTCTTCGCGCTAATATGCTAGACGTCATAGATGATTTATTACTTGCGCTGAGCCTCAGTAGCTATGTTTCTTCCCGTTTTTCTTCACTTCGTGACTCTTCCAAGATCAATTCAAAAAGGCAGACCCATTTGTAATCTCTTGGATCATATGCAGCGAAACGCCGTAGTCGTTTCTCTTCAATACTCCCCGCGGCTCAACGAACATCCCAAATGAACAGGGGAGCCCGGCCAATTCACTTTTTTCATACGTAAATAATGCCGATCGCGGTGATGGATCATTTAAAACAGCCGCATAGTCGTGTATGTTAGTTCATTGACAATAATATTCGTATGGTGGCAGCCCCGATGCTTAGTTTGATGGGTTCAAATCGCCTCATAAATGTGAAAAAGAAATTTCTCTGTGGTCGCTCGCCAGTGGGCTTGGGTCCGAGCAGCTGACGTGCTCAACACGAAGTGGCGTCCAGCAGCGCTACGACGAAACTACACGAACAACACCTGCACTCCGGCGTATTGGTCTCGCCGTACGCCTGAAACTGAAACCCGACCCTCACGGTTGCTTACTTGATCCATGTGCATGAGCATTCACTGGGTAGGAACAGGTGGACATCCAGGCTGAAGAGCCAGATTGTTTAGGCTCTTGTAAGGCGTACCCACGCATTCGATTTTTATTCAAATCGCAGTACTAATTGGATGTATTTGCGGCCTATACAATGGTCTGTGGGACCTGTAAATGATGATGGTTCTATCCTCTAAGGCGAGTATGGTAACACTTCTGCCGGAAGGATAATCGACCCGGTAGGTATAGAGAGCTTGGTTGGCCTGTACGGGAATTGAGCTGTAGTTCGTTTCCCGGACCATTGGTATGATCGTTAGCCACTTGGCATCACCCCATCTTCTTCCCCTGGAAAGAATTAGCTGAAGAAAGTGCAGAACATGCAACGATCTTCAATTTCTCGTGCCTTGCAGATAATTAACATCCTTGGCAAGATAGCGGCGTTTGTTTTTGGCCATTCAAAAACCCCACGACGTTTTGCTGCGGAACTGTCAAGTTTGTCCTTAGAAAGCGCGATCCTGTCACTCTTCATTATCTTGCCACCTTGGGACAGATTTTATCGCTTCGGCTATGTCCTCCTTGTTGTTTCGAGCAAACGATCGGCCAATACAACCATTAACTGTGTTTGATTAGCACTAAATCACTATCATATCAACATTGCTGACATTAAGAATCTGTTAGAGGAGAATCACGGCGATAAATAAAACGAAGGGGTGGAAAGAGAGTGAAGGTTAATGAAGACGTTGATGAGGTCTATAGGCCAAGAAAACGTTTTTATTCGGTGAATGAAGGGGAAGCAAGCTAGTAGAAGTTGCACTGGTGACAGAAAAGTAGTAAAAGTGAAGAGTAATAGTGATAAACTTTGAAGTTCGAAGCGCTTTTGTCCATGATCCGGTCAGTTTGCGCTGTCTGTTAGACTGCCTTCTGAATCCTCCCCATGGCTACTGTGGTAGCTCTTCCTCTTACGAAGCCCTAGCCCTATGGCTAGCTTGAGACTCAGCCGCTTTGGAGAACATGTAGATAGACCAGACTCCAGCGGGTCACCGTAAACCCAGCCGCTGCCGCAGTTTCTCCCAGATAACTAACCTACGCGGTCTTCCTAGTTGACAGTATACTTGGCTACTGTAAACTGGTGGCGTAGGAAAACTCTAAAAGTGGGAAATTCCTGCCCTAGGCTGTATTTTGACCAGACCACCTAAAAAATAGCTGTTCAGGTCTGCGGGTCAGCAGCGGTCGAGTATTCGACGTGGACCGTCACTTTGTGCGACGGCGACGTCGTGCCACCGCGATCGGCAAACGCCGCGCGGCCGGAGTACGAGGCGTCGCGCGCGACTGCGGCGTCGCATGCCACCTGCGATTGCGCTCCGACAACGTCGTCTACATCGTCCACCTGCAAAGATGGAGACAGTTGGCCGTACCGCTCAACAAGTACTGGGTCTAATCCATTTGGTGGTATCTTTAAGTATCAACAATAATTACATTTCTAGATCACTGCCGGTGGTGGAAAACGAAGACGTGGTGCCGCTCGTGCAGTACTTCGACAGCGATTCGTCGGCGAAAGCACGACTATCGCGTGCCGCCGGCGACTGTATCTATCGGGCACGAGTGGCGGACACCGAAGACACCAGTATCGTCAACCTGTGCGATAGCGACAACGGCCTGGTAAGTCCCCTTTGTAACTGAGTTGGACTCTGAAAAGCTCGTAGTCGGGCACTGTCTTGATATGTATGTAATGAGCTTCTCGGAGAGAACAGAAAGGGCCATTCGTTTTTCGTGGCGATCGCAACACCGCTGAGCGCAGCTCCAGATGTGCTGAGGCGTGCCGGTGTTCCCCAGAAGTAGTAGTGGTTTTTCTGGGCCACTGACCAGTACAGTACCACCTTACCGCTAGTTCCCGTAAAGCGCTAAATTTGTCCTTTCAAAAGGCCTCATGAGAAGGGTCGTTTTCTTGAACAGCCAAGTCATTTGCATAATGGCAAAGCTGAACTAAATGCTACCATATGCTTTCGATGTGAACTTTCGCCGAAGACGTTTCCATTTCTTATGCTCGCCGAGTTTGCCAATTTAGCTGCGGAAATTGCATCGTCTGGCCTTTGAGAATCGTCTGTTGCCATCTCATGGAAAGTCAGAACTTCTTGGCCAGAAGTGATCGCTCGGATTAACTATGTTGTTCTAGGGTTTTGACTGTGACCACTAGGACTCATTACTGGTTGTGGAGGCTTCGATCCTTTGTTAGATCTGCCACATACCTGAGATAGCTTTGTTAGAACCTCCGAAGTTTCCGAGGTTATTAATAAAGGATGATAAATTCCGAGGATTAAGGTGATGCTTGTTTTGGATACCTCACCTATTTTAACTACTGTAGTGGGTAGGGTGGTAGTTTCGAGAGAGCTGCGAAGTTANTTGATTAAATTTTCTTTTTTCTTTTGCTCCCTTTTTTCCTATTTTGGATTTGTACGTTTAGCATTGTTTGCAGCTTAGCTCAAATCGGACCTTACGCCCTCCTCCCCCTGCTGCTACTACTACGGGCCTCGGGGCTGGGCTAATTTTCATTNGGGGGGAAGCGTAAGAGGAAGTAACAACAATAGGTTTCTGACCTAGACATGAGTAAGGAGAGAAGTGGAGAGATATCAGAGAGACAAGTATCCCGAGGTATTGAACACTAGCCATTGGAAACTCATTTGTCCGTAGATGAGCGATGTGGGCTCAGATGGCAGGGGATGACCCCATCTGTTTATGGGTTGCTTCAGCTCGCTGAAGACAGACTTAAGTTCAAGAGGAAGGCCGTGTGAAGGATTGGAGTCGGTGAAGTCTGATCAGGTAGCACCGTTCTGCCTAGGGGTAACCTGTGACGCTTACGTCGAGGATAGTAAGGTTCACAACCGCGTAAAGCGTAGATGGAAGGGGTGCAGTATATTCTGAATTATCAAGAGAATTACTCCTGAAAGCTGGTTACCTCCGTTCCGTGAAAAGGCTGACTTGGAAGAAGATCGGTCTGAGAACGATAGCTTGCCAAGGCTTTCGTTGCAGGAAACCTATATTCTTATTTAAGCCGACACTTTTCTATTCTAAGAAAGGATTTCTACCACTGTTTTGACTATTTTTTGAAGTTGTAGATGCTGGTTGTGAGGTGAACAAGTTGTGACATCCTTTTTTCTGACATCCTTTTTTCCGAAGTTATTAATAAAAGATGATAAATTCCGAGGATTAAGGTGATGCTTGTTTTGGATACCTCACCTATTTTAACTACTGTAGTGGGTAGGGTGGTAGTTTCGAGAGAGCTGCGAAGTTATGGGGGGGAAGCGTAAGAGGAAGTAACAACAATAGGTTTCTGACCTAGACATGAGTAAGGAGAGATATGGAGAGATTCTACATTAAAGGAAAGCACTTTCGCATGCCTACATCGAGTTACCAACCATATTTTAGTCAGGAGCCTTCGGCAATACTTTGGAAAGCTTATCTATACACATTGACATGCAGTGGACTCTAAACTCTTGTTGTTATTTACACACTGCCGTGTTTGAGTGACGAGCGACGAGATTGCTCGTTCCGTTCTCATGTACTGCTACGAAAAACGGCCCAGTTGCTCTACACCCTCTCTCGACTAATGATGACACTTTACACTCAATCCATCAACTGGCCGAAAAAAACGGCCGTGCACGGCCGATCATTGGAATCACTGGATAGGCTTTCTACGGAATTCTGTCAAAAATCTCAGCTGTACTAACTATGTTTATTTAGTATGGCCTGCTCGCCTTACCCGATGGTGTCTATTCTGTGGAGCCGATCACTGGCAACTATTCGACGGTTAGCCACCCAGGTAGGTAGTTGGATCTCCTAGAGTTTTCGTCTCCTTCAAGGTTTCGGATCGTAGTAGTTGTACTTTTCACGTACTTATCGACAAAGAGTATGACGTTGGCATCGTGCCAATTCCGTGCGCTTCACGTTATTGTCAATGTGATTCGTATGATTCAATGCCGAATTCAATCGAAAAGCAACCATTCCACATGCATTCGTCTCTCGCTCTTGCATACATGCATACAGATGGCCCGAAAGGTGTCAAAAGGGCTCAGCTCAAGCTTCCCGCTGTCAAAAAAAAGCGTCGAGGTCTACGAAGATAATTTGACTGGAACGCACTTTAGTACAAACCAAAATGTTACCGTAACTCCAGAGTTGCTCCAAGTACTTCTATCGATTGATTTTTATAAAATAACACAATAATTGTAGTTGCATGTAGTACTAAGAAGCGATTATGGTAAAGCGTGGGATCCTTTCTAGGCTTTTGTTCACCTGATAATGGTTGTTCCCAACTTGTAAAACGTCTTGATGAACGTAAATTACTATCCGCTGTCAAATGAACTCAACCACGGCTTTTAAGGGTAGGTAGTTGAAAGGTAATCATCCTACCCACAACACAGTACCTACCCAATACTCGCTTTTCGGGAGGAAATCTTTCCGTAGATAATGACTTAAATTTAATGATACGAAAATGTAGGTAGAAAAAGTGGGGAAGTGAAATGACTGGGTTTTCAGCTATGCCCTCGGAAATCTTCTGTAGAGCAGGAATTTACCCTAGAGCACGTTTCCGAACACTAACTATTGGTCAATTAACTTTTTATTTCTTATAGTGTTTCCAAGAGATGCCATTTAAGCATATAGAAATGGTTTCGTGGCATTTTCTCCTACTTTTTCACGTTTCTTTACGCTTTCATTGAGAAACGCCTTAAAACATAGGGAGAAAGCGTGCTCTGTTGCCAATTTCCGCTTCACGGCCTTATCGCGCGGAAGCAAAAACGGCTATTCTCTCGGGGCAACTTCTTTTGGGTACCTACAGACAACTAAAAACGGCAAAAAGCATTTTCATGGACTAACGAGAGAAGTGCTGACTGCTTTATGCGTAGACCTTCTCAGATTATGAAATTTCTCAAATCAGAAGTGTTTCCAGGCCATTCACGGCATCGCCCACATCTCGTCCATCGTTTCCAGTCACAGGACTTTTATCCTCATTTTGACGATCTCGATCTCGCCAACGACACAATCGCTCCAGATGAGCAGTCGGACGACAACAGCACCATTTCCTATATTAATGCTCAGTGGGAAGACCTTCACGGTACGTCGTGGCAACTGCTTATACTGGATAGTGCTCGCTTTTTTTTTGACCTCAGGAATGAATCACGAACAACGTTGCCAGTTTCCCATACAAGTCAGTCCGACAAAAAGTCGTTGTGACGTATTGTCCCCACGATTGTCCCCACGAAAGAAGACCGAATTCTAGAATTTCAACTGGGAACTTTTCATTTTCGCTGGGATCTATCAGCTGAGGCTGAAACTTTGCGCTCAGCAATCTGATACCTCCGTGTTTTCAGGCAGCTATCCATGTCAGACACTATGTGAAAGATTCTTCACCCCTCGAATTCTGAGCCAACTTAGACGGCTTTCAACTCGAACGAAACTGTGATAAGATGCAGTTTTTTGGGCTCAATCTTACCAATAAATCATCTAAGAAGACGATAGGAAGGCTATTGGGATGCGCCGTGCATTTTTCATTCTCCAAAAGTACTAAGAGTACTGAATTATGATCGTGATTATACTGTAGTCATTCCACTTATCCTATCGGATGAGTGTGACGCTGAACAGAGAGGCAGAAGGGCTCGATCTCTTGACTATTCTTTTTGCCGCTGCTCTATTTCACCCTCTAAACCAATAGAAAGTAGAGCGAAGAGTTAAGCTATCAGAATTCATCTCTAGTTGGAGCGGATGATTTGTATTTCATTAAAGAACAAATTTCAAAATTGAACTTTGTTTTTTGGAAAGGTTACTGTATAGTACGTACTATTTCGGGAATACACCTTTTTGCATCAGCACCAGAAACACCAGAAAACCTTGCCTTCCATTTATCTCGTGAAATTACTTGCTTGAAAAAACAGCAATGCCATCCGTTCCGTTAATTACCTCAAGAATTTTGTAATTTATTTCAAAGGATAACAACGGTTTTTCGTTGGACACGATCGGAACAGTGATCGTTTCATAAACATTCAGAATTTTCCAAGGAATGCAGAATAGCGTGAAAATTAGGAATTCATTGATAGTTTTTGCACTAATTTTTCGAGATATTATCGGTTCAAGGTCGTCGCCTTTCGATTTTGTTTGCAAGGAAAATTTCAAAATTCCCTTAATCGCATTAAATATTACTGTAAAGGTGCGTAGCATTATGTTAATTTCTTGGCAAAAAAGTGAGCGAAAATTATCGAAACATATAACCCCATGCTAGGGCGGAGGTAATGTAGCGTTAAGTGGGTGCACTACATATTACACGCAAGGTCCTTGGATCGAATCCTGGGTGCATACCCGCTCAGGCCAACTGAGTTTTCCATCCCTCCGGGGTCGGCACATTGGTACCACACTCGAACTGCTCTCCCTTTTCAAACACAGTTTGATTTGGGTAACTCTTCGTTTCCTTGTAAAGGTCGAGTAGGTGTGTGGGCTGTTTGAAGGGAATCATATTCATAGCAAGGCCATAGAGGGGTGTTTTTAGCTCCTACTGCTAGGCAAGAATTGGGGAAGCTCGTTATTTTGTATACCCACTTACTACGCGAGCATGAAACAGTATCGGTAAGATCCTGAACTGAGGACTTGAAACGGTAGGAGAGTGGAGAAAAGGTGATCTGAATTGAGTAGGCCTTTATCCTCGTCAAGCATGAAGGAGGGAAAAGTATCACCAACATACAGGCAAGAGGAGCTGTCTACCAAGTGGCTAAGAAGAAGAAGAAAATAGCTAGAGGGAGCTAAGAAGAAGAAGAAGAGGGAATCGATACGGTCTAGGAATATCAGAAACTCCTATATTGACTTGTTTTGTAGGGCGAAATTTAGGTTTGAAATCTATTATCGATTGGATTTTGCTAGAAGAATCGTGACAAAGGAAACTGTGAACTTAAATGGATTAGAAGTCAACACAGCTTGATCGCCAAGGTTCCAAAAAAGGGCGGCATGGAGCTGTAAAGAACTTCAATTCACCTTACATCCTGAAGTTCAAAGCCACTCATTTTCCCTATTGCAGTCTTCTTGTAAGGCTTGTGTTTTTCGATGCGTCCAGTTGAAATGGCAGAGAGGGCTTTCCCATTCATATGTTGTCCTTCATTTCCTGGCTGATGACATCACCCGGTATACATGTGGATATCCACCGTAATCGCAATAATTATGAGATCATTACGTTTGACCGATTATCGCGGCTCAGTGGCCACCCAAAGACACCCTTTGACCGCTCCATCCTGTTAATGTGCTAAGTACTCGATGGTTGAATGAAGTAACGGGCGTACTAGAGGGCATTGAGGGTAATTCATACAGTAAAACCGATGGTCTATGAAGCTCAGTAAAGTCCAAAGAGCGAGAAAATCAAAAAGATCTGCGTAGTACTCACCCTACATGATCCTATGGCGAGATGGAAGGAACAGGGGCTTTTCAAAAGGAAATTGAAGCTCATGGAACTGCCAACGACTGCCTTTAGGCAGCCATATAGGTCTCAAAAAAAGGACCCAGGAGGTTCCCAGATAACAAAATCAAATGATGTTCTATTTCAAAGGCCTTGGGACTATTCTGTCATAATTATGATAGGGGAAGGAACAACGGCTATCATACACATGGTCAAAGGATCGAAATCTCGTCCAGTCCCTTTTGGGCTAGCCAAACTTGTGACTCTTCTGCCACTTTTAAGTCAGCGCTATACTCAGCTGTTCTCCGCAAATCAGTTGGCTGTTCAAAAACGCAATTCAACTGCGTTTCCGAAGAGAGTCGGATGCATGGCGCATTCCACAGGAGGATTGCTTTACGGTGATACTTCATTGCTGTATTTCAGAGCGCCAACCTCGATCTCGAAGATCTGCCAACTCATGGGACCACTATGTTGAGGTGAGCCATTTCACCCGCTTTCCTGGATTCCCAAAGATTTGGTACTCCTTGTATGTCCGACCCATGGTACCTATGTTCAGGTCCTTGTTGTGGCGGATTCGAAAATGCACGAATACCATGGATATAATCTCGAAGCTTACATTCTAACTCTGTTCTCAACTGTAAGTCTCTTACTGGTATACTGATGCATTCTACATCGCCATTCTTAACGATTTCTCTAGAGGCGTTTTTCTAAAGGTTGTGCTTCGTTCAGGTAGCGTCAATATATCGACATCAGTCATTACGAGCATCAATCAACGTGGTCGTTGTAAAAATCATCATTCTTAAACACGAAAACGTAAGGGAGTTCATAATTTAATTCACTTGAATCGAATCGCATTGTGACTGTATTGAGTAAGGGTTACTAATAATGTAGTAACAAGAGATGGCAGTATTTTCGAGAGATAATTCTTGGAAGGGCGGTCAATGCATTTCTTTTGCAAAGCATATCGGGATTCGTCTGATTTTATTCATTTATTTATTACTTATTTACTTCTGCATCCGTTTGCTATTGAGTACCTTCGAAGGAATTCAAATCGAAGTTGTTCGCTAAAAAAANAAAAAAAGTATAAAAATATAATTTGCTATTGTACCAAAAATTAAAAATTCACTAAAAAAATACAGGCAGCCAAATACTTAACTAAGGAAAATATTTAAAAACCAGATTTTCATCTCTTGAGATGGATTCTTTGTCACAGAGGAATAAATGGAAACCCTCTTTTTTATTCCTTCCAAGTGACCAAGTAATACATTAGTAACAAAATGTTCCTCTCACAAAACGCTCCAGGTGAGATTATCTGACCTGGCTTCTTTTCAAATTTATTACATCTTTTGAAACTTTAGATTCTTGGATTTTTTGTTTTTTTATTCTTAACTCAATTTTTACACTTCGGAATTTTTAAGACGGTGTATTTATCAACAGAACCACTTTCTGGAGCCCCTTTCTTTCATTGTTTTTATAGTACTAGTGTTAGTAACTCATAATTCTACTATGGAAACTTTAAAGGCGGGTGACAGCACAGGAACTTTTTGAGGAAGTTATCGCTTGGGTGTTGTAAGCGGTTCAGTTGAGTGAAGTATAATTGGCATCTTTCATAGTCCACGACCGGTCGCTAGCGACTGGCGACCAGTCGCGCGATCAGTCGCGCGAC